TTTTTTTTTTTCCTTCCTTTTTTTTAATCAGTTGGCCCGACAAGACCTCACCTTGTAGATGGGAGCTGAGCCTCTGACTTTAAAGAACGTACGGGCTCCTCTCTCTTTTGTTTGAATTATTTTAATCAGCACAGTGTCGTCCTACATGGAAGAGAAGACTTTGTCCCTTTTTAAAACTCCTGCAGCGTTTTCCTGGGAAGCCAGCAACAACCAGCAGCCAGGCCAGCTTTGGCTGAGGGCTGATGCAGTTCCCTGCAGGTCCTAAACCCTGCCTGGAGCCATCATGTTCTCCCTAGATCCCTTCCTTGTTTACATGCATGTAATTTGGAAACATATGCCTGAGGACCTGAGCAGAATAAGTGAACATATAAAAAAACTGAAAGAGAGGCTGGGAATATAGCTCAGTGGCACAAGCGCCTGTCTAGCAAGCACAAGGTCCTGAGTTCAATTCCCAGTACCAAAAAAAAAAAAAAAACCAGAAAAAAATCAGGCCACCCCACTGCCAAATTCAAAGACCCAGTCCAAAAATAGGCATCTGAAATGAATACACACTTCTCAGAAGCACAGACGGCAAACAAATATATGAAAAAATGGTCAACATCGCTGGGTTATTCGAGAAATGCAAATTAAAACAACCGTGAGATTCCATCTCACTCCAGAAAAAATGGCTGCCATCAAGAAATCAACCAATGCCAAAGCTCATGGGGCTGTGGGGAAAAAGGAACCCTTTTCCACTGTTTGTGGGAGTGTAGACTGGTGCAACCACTATGGAAATCAGTGTGAAGATTTCTCAGAAAATTAAAACTAGAGGTTCCATTTGACTCAGCCCTCCTGGGTATCTTCCCAAAAGAATCAGAAGCATCACATCACAGCAATATATGCACACCTATGTTTATAGCAGCACAGTGCGTAATAGCCAAATCTTGGAAACAGCCCAAATGCCCATCAACTGGTGAATGGATAAAGATATATTTTTATACAATGGAGTATTACTCAGCCATAAAGAATGAAAAAAACTGAGGCATTTACAGCTAAATGGATGCCCCTTGAGACCATAATCATAAGTGAGATAAATCAGACACCCGTGTGTGAGTATCACATTATCTCTCTGGTGTGAGAGACTGAAAGTGGAAATAAGAACCAAAATGTAAGATAGATATTGTGAAATAGAAATGGTTGAAAAGGAAAGGGGAAAGGAAGGAAGGGAAAAGAAAAACAAGAAGGATAAAATGGAAACAAAGCTTTGTGAATAAGGAGGGGAAGAGGGTGGCAGGGAGAGCAATGGGGAAGAAAAAAGAGGAATCAAGATGTACCCTGTACAGGTACCAATTCCCTATGATGCGTGTGATTGTTATGCATACCTAAACTGTACCCATAAACAATGTAAGGGCCGGGATGTAGCTCAGCGGCACAGCGCCTGCCTGGCAAGCGCGAGGTCCTGAGTTCGATTCCTGGTCCCCGCCCCCGGAAAAAAAATTTTAAAAAGAACAAATGCACAGCGTTTAAAACTTAACTGAAGTGACTGTGAGTGTACAAAAACAGAGCCACCCCATTCTTAGGGAAAAAGGTTTCCATGTCTACT